GGGAGCTGGGCCCGCTCCCGCATCCCGGTGCCCTCTGTGAAGGTGACGGCGCGGCGTGCGCGGAGCGGGCCGGGGCTCGCCGGTGCCGCAGATGGGCGGAAGGGGGGTGGTGTCCGTATGTCAGCGAGGCAGCACCTGCCCGCAACCGGCCACGGGGAAAGATGAAGGGGGAAACGAGACCGCCTACTGACACCGACCCTCAGTGTGGCATCGCCACGGGCGGCCCCCCACCTCCTTCCGGAAAGGCGACGCTGCTTCTGAGCGGCACCTGCAACTGTCCCCGAGACCTGTGAGTGTCCCTGCGTAGAGGCGGGGGCTGTCCTCGGCTGGCTCCGAGCTCAGCAGCCGTCACACAGCTGTACCTTTGCCAGGTCCCCAGGCTGCGGTCCCACCGGTGGTGCCAGGCTGGACTGGCCTTGCTCTGGGGACTGTCATGCACCCGGAGCCCAACTGCACTTTGGAGCCATTTCTGCAGGTACCTGCAAGGTCCGGAGCTGCCGCCAGCCTTCCTCCCTTGGCAGGAGCATCACTTGTCCTGCCTCGATTGTGGCAGGTCCCCAGGAGCTGCTCGCTGGAGCCACATCCTCACAGGGACCTTGAGGTGTTGGTCATGACCAGGGTGAATGGTGATGGAGAGTTGTGGCTGTGGTTCACATGGCACCAGGGTTGTGGCCACTGGAACAGTTGCCCTTGTTGGGGACCATCCTGGCCATCCTTCCCTGGCAGCTGCCGTGGGAGTGGGACAGGTACATTCCTCTGGAGTGGAGCAGGATGCAGTGAAACCAGATAGGAGGGTGGCTGGCGGCGTGTGTTGTGTCACAACTGGCTCCCTTGAGTGCCTTCCCCAAAGGCTCCAAACTGTGGCTTTGGGGATAGATAGATCTGGGCTTAGAAACATCTGTTGGGTGAGGACAGCAGCCACAGCCAGGTTTGAGAGGGGAGTTGAGCTCCCTTCTCCATTCACGTGGGGTTAGCTGGGGCTGGAGATGGGTGTGGATACTACCAGAATGACTGGTGGAGATGAAGCTGGTGCCCCTGACACCGGTGCTGCATCCTTCTGTCCCCAAAGGAGTCCACAGATTATCCAGAGAAGTGCCTGTTCCCATGTGACCCTGCTTCCAGCATGGGCAGGCCCTGTTGTCACTTCCCAGCTGTGAAAAGCCACTGTACATTGTTCCATATCAGGGTCCCTGTGCAAGAGCTCGGAGGTCTTCCAAGCTGGAGGATTCCCTCCAGGAATGGGTCTGGAGCTGCTGTGCAGAGGGCTGTGTTGGGAAGGCTCTTGTCCCACATGCTCACCTGCTTGGTGCTGCCACCCTGCCTAGCCTGAGAACCTGCACTGCTGCCTGGCCCTGCATTCATTGGGTGCCCAGCACCCTGCTCCTGTTAAAGTTGTTGGTAGACTCAGTTTCCCAATTGGGATGCTTTTGATGGCGTGGGAGGGGAGAGCTGTTTGTAAGAAACTCTGATTGTAGCATGTTGGCATGAGCATCCCATGTATCTGGGGGCAGGTTGGAGCAGGAACAGCCCTGGGGAAGAGCTGGGCTCCCCAGGCTGATCCTGGCAGAGTTGGGCTTTGATGGGGGCCACTGTGCCCTTGCCCCCTATGGAGTTTGTTCCTTTGGGACAGGGTGTTTGTGCTTGGTTTACCCAGCCGTTACACTACAGTAGAGCCACACTGTATTGTGGGTGGCACATCTAGACAGAAATCACAAGATGATTTGGATTGGAAGGGAACTTAAAGACCACGTAGTTCCAGCCCTCTTGCCAAGGATGTCACCTTTAAGTGAGTTTGGGGATGCCTTGGCCAGCCTAAATACAAGAACAGCCCCTCTCTGCGATGTTCCCTTCCTTTTCCTGTAGAAACAGGCTGGGAAAACCAACCCCATGGGAATGTGGTGCCAGGCAGAAAGATGCTAAAGGGGAGCCAGTGGCTTTCCTAGCTCAGACTTCTGTCTCTTGCTGCCTCTGCCACAGCCCTGGGTCTGGCATTGTGTGGGAAGTTGTGATGCAGTGTGACAAGGCAGCGTGTGTGTCACCTTGCTGGAGCTGCTGGGCCGGTGAGAGCTGAGTGCCAGCGTGTATGCAGCCAGGCGCATAATCTGCTTATGGGAGCACCAGCGCAGCCTCAGCCTCCTGCTGTGGTAAATCCCCGCTCCTGCTGGGAGCATGGAGTGGGATGGTTGGAAAATGGTGGGTGTTGTAGGAGAGCTGTGCTATACCAGGCAAGGGGAATTGGAGGGGCACTGCTGATGGAGTGCAGGGCCTGGTCAGGCTGGTGGGATTGTGGTGGGGTGCTGCAGACTGTGATGGGTGGGGAAAGGGGCTGCAAGGCCTTGGGGAAGCTCCTTAGGGAGGTGCAGTGTCAGCTGGGAATGGTGACCTTGCTCCCCTGGGACTAGGCTGCGCAGGGACAGCTGAGGCTGGTGGAAACAGCATAGTCTCCACTGCTAGTGTTGAGTGGCCTCAAAGCTGTGTGAGGGGAGACCTAGCGCTGGGGTGAGGAACTTGGCTGGGACCTAGGGATGCTGGGGATGGACACAGAAGGATCCAAGCCCTGCTTTCTGCCTGGTAGTCCTGTGGTTCATCACGCCTGTCCCAGCACTAGCCGATGCTTCAGTACTCTTCAGCGTTCTCCTGGCAAATGCAGCCCTTCCACAGCTGAGCAGCTGCAGTTCTGTGCCTGAGCTGCTCTGATTCATTTTGACATATATCAAGGTGAATTACCATTCCTGGTGACCCCTGACATCGAGAGCTGGGGACTCTGCTGGCACCCGAAGCTCCTCTTGAGGCACTGTTAACCCTTTGCTTCCCTAAAGATGAGCTGGGGAGGCCAAGGCAGGACTGCTGAAGCTTCTGCCAGATATCCTGTGGTGGGCATCATCCTTGCTTCTCCCAGCCCAGAGCTGGGCCCTTCCCAGCCAGACCCATCATGCCCAGCCAAAACAACAACATGGAGCTGTGCAGGGAAGCTTTGATTGTGAGGCACAAAAGTGTTTTGCTTTCAAAGAGTGTTTCATGGAAAACTGGGTTTCTCCCATCAAAGAGGCTGTGGAGCCCTGCTGGGGTGGCTCTAGGGTAGGAAGCAGGAGAGGACTGGTGTGCACTGGGATGAAGAAGGTTTTTGTCCTAGGGTGGAGGTGTTTCCATGGGCTGAACATCCCCCTGGGCTGCAGCCAAGATCTGCCCAGGGGGGCTGCTGGTGATGATGATAATGGTCATGGTGATGCAGCCCTCCAAGGACTTACCTTGCCATCTCCTTGGCTAATGATGGTCCTTGACATCTTGACAACTTGGCAGAAGCTGGACTTGGCTGTGCCCTGGGGCTCCCTCTCCTCTCCTTTGACCCCCTCTCTGGTCCCGCCCCAAAGGGGCTGTGCCTGGGTGCTGTGGGAGCCCCAGCCGTGGTGCCTGCCCAGGGTGGAGTTATGCTAATGCTACTCCCCATCCCTCTGCACAGCTGGTGCCACTTAGCATCCTCTCCTGGACCCGGGTGACATCAGCTCTGCCATGGCCACCTGCCCAGATCTGCAGCCTGGGCAAGAGGTACGGAGACAGTGTCCCCCCTCCCCAGCGGAGCGAGAGGGGACACATGGGGATGGGGGACCCAGAGCACCCAGAATTATGGGAAGGTGCCACAGCAGTGCTCCATTCCTGGGACAGCCTTCCTGGGGGATGCACTTGCTGCAGGACTCCTGAGGATGTGGTGCAAATGCTATCCATGCCACAGCATTGCCGAGGTCATCGGTTTCTCTGGGGGTGGAGAACAAGGGACAGCCCCAAAGGGCTGGAGCACCGAGGGATGGAGCAACAACAGAGCTGGGAGTGCTTGGTGGTGATGGTGGCATTATCTCCCATCTCTGTGTGGCCCATGGCTGGGCTGTGCTGTGGTGGGGGCTGATGCTGAGCCCCCCAGGTCAAGGTCAGTGGGAAAGAGGATGCTGTGATCACAGAGTCCCACTGCTGCTATCAACCTGCTGAGGGAGAGGAGGGTATAGAGGCACCGGTTGCCCTGCAAGCCTGTCCTCATGGCCTCTGTGCTGCTGGGTGCACCTTGGGGGGGGGGGGGGGGGGGGGGGGGGGGGGAGGAGGGGGGCAGGCGTGTGAGCACACAGCCCCTGCAGTGCCCTGACCTTGTTTCCAGCCCAGTAATTCAGTGCATCTTGCCTTGCCGCAGGCACTGCTGCCCGCCCCACCAATGGAGCAGGGATACGGAACAGGAGAGGACGTGTCCCCATGGAGGGCTCTTACTTTGAGGCGCTGACTGACGGGGCACTGGCCCCTGGGCGTGAGCCTGCAGCGTTGTGCCCCCCACCCCGACTCTGTGTGCCGTCCATTTGAGGATCTCCCTGCTCACGAGGCTAGGGTTTCCTGGCAGTTGCTGCGGTGGGGTGTCGGGGACCCTGTTGCCTACTGGCAGGAGGGCTTGTTCCCACAGGAGCTGCTGCCAGACATGCCTCCTCCCGTCAGCGCTTGTAAACAGGATGTGGAGCTGTCCTAGTCCCAGCATCCCTGTCTCTTGTCCCAGCCCCACTACCTCATGGGGCCTTCAGCTCGGACACCACTGTGCCCAGCCCCTGCCTGGCTTTGCTGCTGGCACCAGCTGCAGCATGGGCAGATCTGGGTCAAGGCGATGTTGGGGTCCTGGTGCATGCGAGGGGACAGCCTGAGTGGGTGTCCTGGGTTTAGCTGTAGCAGTCATTTTTTTTCCTTCTTAATAGCTGGTGTAGTGCTGTGGTTTTGACTTTAGCCTGAGAACAGTGCTGTTTCGTAGTCCCTTTGCACAACAGGTTGTGCTGCCCCGACCCTTTTGAATGTGGGCTTGGTGACAGCTGTGGGTCAGGCCCCCTGCCCTTGCTGTCTCCTGGGATTCAGGGATGGGAGCCCCTTGTGCCATTATGTGTACTGAGTGGGCAGGCAGGGGGCACAGGCAGACCCCTGCCACCATCTGCCTCCCCCCTGGGTGCAGCCCCACTGCCAGTTCCTCAGCCACCACTGTTCATCTCTTCTTGGTGTCTCTTCCTCCTCCCCGTCCTCCCGGCAGGCCATGGGGTGTGTGGGGCTCCTGGTTATCCCAGAAGACACCAAGGAGCAGCAGGGTGCTCAGGGGGAATGTCCCCATCCCTGTTCCCAGGAGTGCCAGGAGCTAGCTGCTGTCCCGGTGCCACAAGCTGTAAGCGCCTGGATGCATGGGAGCATGGCTGTCCTCACTGCCATCCCCATGGCTGTCCCCAGGGTGGTGGCCATGTTCCCATTCTCCTCCTATCCCTTTCATTCTTAGGTGCATGTGTATGGCTGCTGCAGCCTAGGGGCTCATGTTGCCAAGCTGGGTGATGCCACCTTGGGCTGGCAATGCCACCCCAGTGTCACCTGCTCTCTTGGTCCACAGATAAAGCGTTTCCTGAAGGAGGACTCTGAGGAGGCTGAGCTGAGCCAGCTCCTGCAGGATTGCCCACCGGTTGACAGCCCCAGGAAGGTGGAGCCCCCGGAGAGCTGGCAGGAGCCCGGCCGCCCCCTCTGTGGCATGGGCAGGCTCCCCCCTGACATCGATGAGAGGGATGCCAGGATCTTCTCCCGATCTCAGCCCCTGGATGTCCAGCAGCACATCGCAGCTCCCGCACCCCTGAGCCCCAACCGGCCCCGGAGCCCTTGGGGGCAGCTCGACCCCTATGACTCCTCTGAGGTGCAGGACACGTCGGGGGGGGGAGGGGGGGGGGGGGGGGACGGGGACAAAGGGCTGCAGGAGTCACAATGGAGGACATCCTCACTTTCCACAGCCAAAGGGTTTGGGCAGGCATGGCCTTATCCCACAGTGCTCCAACCCTGGGGGGCCTACTGGGGGGACAGGAGGAAGGGGGTGTCGTGCTGGGGTGGGGAAGAGGGGGTAGGATGGTGGTATCCCCTGTACCACGTCCCCTCTGCCTGCAGGATGACAAGGAGTACGTGGGCTTTGCCACACTGCCCAATCAGGTTCATAGGAAGTCAGTGAAGAAAGGCTTTGACTTCACCCTCATGGTGACAGGTATGGGGGGCAGGGGGTGTCCAAGCCTGAAAGCTGACCCTGCTCTGCATCCCAAAAGCCATGAAGTGGGTGGGAGGGAGTGTGGGAGCATACCAGCTGCCCCCCTTACCCTTGTCCCTCTTTCCCAGGGGAATCTGGACTGGGCAAGTCTACCCTAATCAACAGCCTCTTCCTGATGGACATGTACAGAGACCGCAAGCTGCTAAATGCTGAAGGTGAGGATAGGAGCAGTCCAGAGATGGGGTATTCTGAGTCTTTTGTGGGGGGGGGGGTGGGGGGGTGGCAGAGCCCTGTGCCACTCCTGGGGAGCTGCAGCCCCTCCCCCTACCCATCAGGGCTCCTCCAGGTCTCCAATGCTGCCTGCAGCACGCTGCCAGCTGCCCATTGATGCTGGGGATGACTCCATGGCAGCAGGGACCCCCCTGCCTGGCACAGGCACCCCCACAGGGGCTTTGTCCTCACTGGGGAAACAAGCACCAGCTTCTATGGACTGGCTGGAACTGCAGTAAATCCAGGAGCTGTGGACAGTCGGGGTCCAGGGCACGGGGCCATTTCAGCTGCAGCCAGTCTTTGGCATAAAATTGCCCAAACTTGCCCAAATCCACAGGGGTTCGAGGGGGTTGTTTGATTTGTTTCCATTGCTTGGAGTGAAAACCAAAATGCATGTGGCTACAAAATGCAACAGCAACATCCTTTGGGACGCAGCGACATGGAAGGGTCCTAGGAGTAGAGAGGCATAGAATCATAGAATCTCTCAATTTGGAAAAGACCATTAAGATCATGAAGTCCAACCATTAATCCAGGACTGCCAAGTTCACCATTAAACCATGTCCCCTAAATGCCACACAGAATCATAGGATCACAGAATCAGACTGCTTTGGGTTGGAAGGGATCTTAAATCTCATCCAGTTCCAATGCCTGCCATGGGCAGGGACACTAGAGCAGCTTGCTCCAAGCCCCTGTGTCCAGCCTGGCCTTGAACACTGCCAGGGATGGGGCAGCCACAGCTTCTCTGGGCACCCTGTGCCTGCGCCTCAGCACCCTCACAGGGAAGAGCTTCTGCCTAGGAGCTCATCTCAGTCTCCCCTCTGGCAGGTTAAAGCCATTCCCCATGGCCTGTCCCTGCAGGCCATTGTCCAAAGCCACTCTCCAGGTTTCCTGCAGCCCCTTCAGGCACTGGAGCTGCTCTGAGGTCTCCCCTTGAGGAGCCTTCTCTTCTCCAGGCTGACCCAGCCCAGCTCTCTCAGCCTGGCTCCAGAGCAGAGCTGCTCCAGCCTTTGCAGCACCTCTGTGGCCTCCTCTGACCTTGCACCAGCAGCTCCACATGCCTCTTGTGTTGGGGGCCCATTTACACATCTTTAAAACACATCCAGGGACAGTGACTCCACCACTGCCCTGGATAGCCTGTTCCAATGCTATGCACAGTCCTGAAACTGTGGGGTCATGCATAGGGGTTACAGGGAGCTAAAAATGCTCCCATAGTGATGCCTGGACCCAGCAGTCCCCTCTGCTTATGGAACTGGGGTGTCGAGATGGCACAGCCACCATGGGGTGGGTATACATTCATATGGATGCCAGGGGCCATGGCATGGTGCATCAAATCTTGGCTATGTCCCCCGGTGCACATAAGGGCTGATCCTGCAAAGCTGTCCCTGACTTACAGGGTGAGGGGTGACACCCGAGGGGCTGCAGCATCTCCCTGCATCACCCCCATTGCCTCTCACCCGAGGTGCCCTCCCCACTACCACTGTTCATGTGTCTCCTGCTGCTGCAGAGCGCATCACACAGACAGTGGAGATCATCAAGCACATAGTGGACATTGAGGAGAAGGGTGTCAAGCTGCGCCTGACCATTGTGGACACGCCAGGCTTTGGTGATGCCGTCAACAACACTGAGTGGTACGTGCTGTGGTGGGTCTCCCCAGGGATTGCCTCTGAACGTGGGATGCCCAAGGGTCATCAGGCTGCAATGTTTGAGCCATGGGATGCATTGAGCTGGGGGTTAAGGGAACCCTGAAGATCCCATGGTCACCTCCATGTCCCTACAGCTGGAAGCCGGTGGCTGACTACATTGACCAGCAGTTTGAGCAGTATTTCCGTGATGAAAGTGGCCTCAACAGGAAGAACATCCAGGACAATCGTGTCCACTGCTGCATCTACTTCATCTCACCCTATGGCCATGGGTACAAGCAGCCCCTGCCCACGCAGATGAGGTAGGGGTGCTCGGGAAGGGACTTGGTGGAATGGTGCTCACTTAATTCCTCCCCACAGGCTTCGGCCCCTGGATGTGGAGTTCATGAGAGCCCTGCACCAACGGGTGAACATTGTGCCTGTGCTGGCCAAGGCTGACACCCTGACTCCAACAGAGGTGCAGCGCATGAAGAACAAGGTGAGGGGAGGTCAGCCCAACAGGTCCCTGGGGAAGGGGCTGCACTGGGGCTGGTGGCCCTGCCTCGCTCAGCTGGGGTCTTTCTTAGTCCCCTGCCCAGACGTTGACATGGAGGATCCTCCATGCTCGCAGCATTGTAGAGGACTCTGTTGCCCATATGGCCATCAAGGACACATCTCCTTGGAGCTCAGCTGCAGGCTGGAAGGGTTTGGGTGGAACAGGGTCTTATATTTGCTTGTGGGACACTGGTGGTGCTTCTCACACTGTTTCCGAGGGCCAGAGCCTTGCCCTCAGCAGGGCTGTCTGCCTCCAGATCCGTGAGGACACTGAACACTATGGCATCCAACTCTACCAGTTCCCCGAGTGTGACTCGGATGAGGATGAGGAATTCAAGCTGCAGGACCAGGCACTGAAGGTGGGTTTGGTTCCACCAGCTCCATTCTTGGAGGGGCAGAGCCCCAAGGCCAGGAGGAGATGTCAACCTGGGGTACCCTTAACACTCTCTGGGGCAATGCAAGCTCTCCAGCACCCCAACATGATGGGGTCGGTACATGTTGCACTATCGGGATGCATCACCAAGACCCCACATGTGCCACCTGCAGCTTGGTGGGATGAGGCTGGGGTGGAGAAACCCATTGTTGCAACTCTTGCCGTCCCACCTGGGGCTCTCTGTAGTCGGGGCTCTGGGGTATCTTGGCAAATGGGTTCTGTATACTGCTGAGAAGCATGTGGAGGGTTGTGGGCTGTGGTAGACAGGACCAAGCCCCGCTAACCCCTGCCATCCTCCTGCAGGAGAGCATTCCCTTTGCTGTCATTGGCAGCAACACGGTGGTGGAAGCCAAAGGCCGGCGCATCCGTGGGCGCCTCTACCCCTGGGGCATTGTGGAAGGTAATGCTGCGCTGTGTCCCCAGTGTCCCACTGGGGATGGGGACATGGCGTGCACCATCTCCACGTTGCTCAGTCCCAGAGCCTTTGGGGGAATGTGGGGGACTGGCTGTGACCCCTGACCTCGGGCTCCCCTGCAGTGGAGAACCCATCCCACTCTGATTTCGTGAAGCTGCGGACAATGCTGGTGAGGACCCACATGCAGGACCTCAAGGATGTGACGCAGGACATCCACTATGAGAATTACCGCAGGCAGTGCATCCAGAGCATGACCCGCATGGTAGTGAAGGAGAGGAACCGCAAGTAAGGGATCAGGAGTGGGGTGCTGGGGTGGGGGTGGCATCTCATGTCTTTGGGGTGACCCCCGCCCATTGCAAGTGGTGATCTTGATGGGTTGGGTTTTTGTGTGGGTCCACTGGGCAGCATGGAAGGCTGGGTAAGAAAGCCTATTGGCGTTGTGGGGAACCCCAGTGTATTGGGGGACCCTTCCTGTGCCACTTGGCTGAGTCTGGCTGGGGGAGGATGCTCTGGCAGTGGGATCTTGTGTCCCCCTTAAGGCTGGGTCTATCTTAGGGGGATGCTTCAGTAGTGAGGGGAAACCCCATAGGGATGGCTTGGGGGGAATGCTATGGCAGTGGTGGGGGGACCCTACACACCTCCCAGGGCTGGGGGAATCCTCCAGCAGCAAATGGGAACCTATGTCCCCTGTGGCTGGTTGTGTCTTGGGGTTGCTTCAGCAGTGAGGGGGACCCTGCATCCCACTTCTGAAGAGCCAGGCAATCAGCTGGTTCTGGGTTCATGTCATTTGCACCCTCTTTAGCCACCCCTTGGCTGGAGGGTCCCACGAGGGACCCTGCTTTGCAGGGCTGGAGCAGTGTGGGAGCAAGTGGAGGCTCTGTGGGTTGTGGGGGGCTGAAGCAGCGGTGGGAGGCTGGCGGTGGCTGCAGGTGCCTCTAAGCTGGTCTCTCCATATGTGCCGCCGGAGAAGGCAGCATCCCTCAGCACTGAGGCTGTGCTGCACCGACTGCTCTGCTGACTGAGCCACTCTGGGCCCCCGCTGCCCTCCCCCATGTCCACCCCTCTGGCTTCTATATAAAGTACTTGCTGGTACCCAATGCTGTCTTGGTCCTTCTGTGCCCATGTAAGGGCCAGGCAGCTCTCGGGGTAAGGCAGCCCTGTGGCCACCCACCTGCTGCCCACACAAATTGCCCCTGGGGTGCAAGCACCCCCGGGGATGCTGGGAGGACTCTGTGTGCTGGTGGCATTACCCTGTTTCACCCAGGCAAGGTAGGGTTGGGAGGATGTGTTACTGTCTGGTGGCACCTAGCTTTTCCCAGCCAAAGGCTGTCCAAGGGAAGGGCTGCAGGGCTGGTACCCCAGTGTTCTAACCTCCTGTAGGGGTGTGATTTTGGGGTGCAGGAGGCAGTGGTAGACAGTCTGCCCTGGGCTGGTGAAGCTACTTGTCCCATTGTCAGTGCCCAGGTCAAGCCTTGCCTTGCTGTCAGGGATAGAAGGAGCATGATGTGCTCTGCTGGGTCCCCCCGTGGTGAGGAGCCGTGACAACAGGCAGTGACTTCCAAAGCAGCTCAAACCACAGCCAAGCCCCCTTCCTTGCTGTGGACATGCTGGCACAGTCCTCCCAGCACAACGGGACCTTGCAGGGCTGGGGTTGCCCACCCACCCAGCAACGTCCGCTGTGTCCATCACTGCCTTGCACCAGCAGTGGCACGTGGCAGTGGCATGTGATGGCATGCGTGATTCTTGCCAGCCGCTACAATGGTGTCCCACCCATGTTGTCACCCGCTGAGGTAGCACGTGACATCCACAGGGATTCATCTGAGAGAGCTGGTCCCTCCCCATTGCTGTTAACATGGGAGAAGCTATTGATTGTGCTGGCTGCAGTCCTGCGCAATGGGGTTGTCCCAGGTGGATGCTAACAGCTTCCTCCAGCAGCGATGGGCTGATGGGAGCTGATGCTTGGGAAAAGGGGTTTTGAGCATCCCTGGGGCTGGCTGGGCAGTGGGGTGCCATGGGAGCCCATCCTGGGCAGGGCTGGGGCTGTGGGAGAGAAGGGAGATGCCAAGTTGAAGATGCTTTAAAAGCAGCGGTGGAAATACTGGGTAAGGAGAGTCTGACCCCAGCTTGAACACCCAGCAGGATCCTTCCCAAATTGAGAGAGCATGGAGAAAGATCCATGCCTTAGGTGGTCCCTGGCACCCACTGCTGTAGTGGTGCCTCCTAAACTGGTGCATGGCAGGTCAGGGTAATGCTGAGGTCTGGGGGGAATGCATGAAACTGCTCCTATTGCCCCTGCCTGGAAAATGACCCAGTGTGATGCTGGCTGGGGGCTCAGGGTCTGCGTAAGTGAGTACTGGGTACCTGCAACGTTTGGGATCTCCATGGTTGCAGCGCCTATGGTGGAATGTCCATGTGGCAGCATCCTTACCTCCTTTCTCTGCCTGCAGCAAGCTGACACGGGAGAGCGGGACAGATTTCCCCATACCTGTCATCTCCTCGGTGCCAGATGCAGAGACGGAGAAGCTCATTCGGGAGAAGGATGAGGAGGTGAGCGTGGGGTAGGACTGAGGCCCCCTGATCACTCCACGTCCCTATCCCCAGTAATGGCATAGCTGCGAGGCGCCACCCTTTCTGCAGCAACCCAGCAGCTGCTGCTCTTCAGGCCAGGATGAGGAGGTGAAGCAGTAGCACCCTTCCTCATCCCTTCCCCCCCCCGCCCCAGTTCTTGATGATCCCAATCTGGTTTTTGCATGGGAGCTGGCGTAGCTGGGAGGGGTACCAACGCCACCCACCGATCCCTTCTCTGCTCCCTTCCAGCTGCGGCGCATGCAGGAGATGCTCCAGAAGATCCAGAAGCAGATGAAGGACTCACACTAACTCCTCTTGCCTCTTCTTCCTCCTCCTCGTGCCCCAAATCAGAAACATTTGCATCACTCTCCATCCTACCCTGACCCTGCTGCAAAACGCAGTACAACACTGACTGCATCTGCCACCTTAAGCTGTTGTGGTATTGCCTTATCCAACCAACCAGCACCCATCCCATGGGGACAGTGAGGGGACAATGAACGCAGTCTGGAGGTCCCCTGGCCTGGCCAGGTTGCTGCTCACCTTGCCTCAGGCTGGGGACAACTTTGTCTCCTGAGCTTTGGCTTTCCCTGTTTCCCCCACAGCTTTGGGGAGAGACACCAGCTCCTCATGTTATGTCTGTCCCTTGTCCCTGTGTCACCTCCAGCCTCTCTGCTTACAGCCTTCATGCTAAGCTTGGCCCAGGCTTCAGAGAAGAGGAGGTGGATGGGGTTGACTCAGCTGCCATGCTGAGGGGAGGACAGGGTTGCTTCCCCCTGACTTTGGCTGGAGCAGAGGGTCAGCAGTTCCTGAGGACTGCAGGTGACCAAGGGGGTAAAGGAGCAGCCACTGTCCTGGCCTGGGTGGCAGCCGGCACTCAGATGCCTTTGGCTGCCTCCCATCCAACACTGGTGCAAGGATGAACTGAAGCTCAGCAGTGTCCAGCCCTATGTCATTGGCAGGGACCTTGTCCCCTCTGAGCACTGCCCCTTGGGAGCATCCCGTGTCCCTTGGTGTCGGAAAGGGCCATGGATGGAGAGCACTGGGGAATCACAGTCCCCAGAGAAAGTTCCTAGAACCCTAAATCAGAGGCCAGGTCCCCAGTGATGTTTGCCCTGTAAAGCAATAATGACTGTCCTGGTGATGTTTCCGGACCTGCAGCAACAGCATCGTCCCTCACTGGTGTTTTAGCCCCTGGTGCCACCTCTTTGTCTGCAGTGTCCCTGTGTGGCCTTAGGATGACCCTGTCCCAGCTGCTTCCTGGCAGAGCATCACTGCCCAAGGATGTCCCCATTAATATTGCTTTTCAGGAAATCACTGCTGTGTGTCCCCATCTGTGTTTCTTTTCCACAGAGTACTAATGTTAGGTGCCTATGTCCCCCCAGGATGTCCTCACCTGTGTTGCTGCTCTGCAGAGCCCTGTATCTTGTCCCTGTGTTCCCCCCAGGATGTCTATATCTGCACTGCTCTCTGGCAAAGCACCGCTCTGTGGCCCCAGTGTGAGCCCTGGCCAGTAACTGTGGAGATGGACCTGAATCCTCCCTGCCAGCCTTCTGCTCTCTCCCCCTGGGTAGAGGGAGAGATGAAAGGGGATGGTGAGGCTGGAGAGCAGAGGCAGAACCGCGAGCAGTGGGATTGCTGGGGTCCCCTGGGTGGGTTCACCCCAGGGCATGGGGTTTGCACCCAGGCAGCTTGGCTGAGGGGGGCTCTGTCTGGTCAAGGCTCAAAGTGGATACTGCAGGATGTTGATGCAGCATCCGGCATGTGACACCCATGTCCCTGTGCCACTGGAGGGTCCCTTGATCGCCTTGGGCAGGGCCCCACAGGGTCTATTAGCACTTTCCTTTTTTTAATCTTGCTATTTTCTTACAGAAGTACCTACCTTCGCATGATGGTCATAGAGGCATTTATTAAAGGATAAGCAGAGTATAGGTTTATAAATTCTTATAGAGCTAGTGGAAATATTTTTATCCCTCCACAACCATTCTCAATAAATATGGCTGACCCACCTTGTCTGACACCTTAAGTTGCTTCCATGTGGATGCTGGGCACCCTATGGCCCCAGGCAGGCAGGCAAGGATGAGGGCTGATGGTGGCCAGTGATGTGGCCTCTTGCTCCTGGCTCCTGTTTCCCTGGCAAAGGCTCAACATGGGTACTGGAGGGGGCATATGCTGCACCCACTGGGGTACCCAGCTTGGTGTGGGAGACCTTTTGGGACCCAGCTCTGCAGGTGAAAGGGGAACAAAAGGATGAGGTTCCCTGCCTGCATGCTGCTGGTTCATCACCTTCTCATACACGGCCTTGGGGTCACATGGCCCTGGGTATCGCTGGTTTTGGGCTGTGATGGGAATTGGCGTGGGGGGATCGGAGGGGTGGTGGTGGATGGGGGTCCAGAGCCTGACCCGCGGATTGAATTGCCCTACACATGCTGCCCCTCAGCATCCCTGCAACCTCACGCTGAGATGAGCCCTGCTGGGGGACATGCAGGCACTAGGCCCTGTGAGTACCAATGCCCAGTTACCCTAGTGTGGTTTCACTGGGAGGTTGGGCAGAGTGGCACCGGGGTGGATGAGCTACTTTCCAGTGGGTATCACCCCATTATTCCTCCCTGCACCCTGTTTTCCTGGCCTGCATACCCCCTGCACCCCACTATCTTGCGCACAGTGCTGTTGAATTGAGCTGGCACCGGACAGAGTACCTGATGCCTCTTCTTGGGACCCCCAAATCCTAAGCAGCAGTGGGGAGGGTGCACAGGAGTGGGGCTCTCAGTTTGGGAGGGCACCAGCACTCATGTAGGGCTGGGTCTAGCACAGGGCAGTGTGTTGGGGTGATCCTGGGTGCTTGTTGTGACACCCCACACAGGGCATGGGGCTGGACCTGCCCCCAGCACCCTGCAGGGCTGGGCTGTGTGGTGCTGGGCACATCACTGAGCTCTCAGGGCCCCCCAGGACATCCCATGGACATCTCTGGCCCTGATGCCTTCATCACCATGAGCATCCTGACCTGACACTCTAGGTAAGCTCAACAGCCCAGGTGCTGTGGGTATGTTCAGCCCAGCCTTGTCCTGTGTGCCCACTACTTGTGTTTCTGGCTACCCCTTAGGCTTTGTTTTACTTCCATGCAATGGACTGAAAAACCAGCCTTCCTCCCACCATGGAGGCATGCTCAGTCCCCTGTGCCTCCCCTCATCCATCATGGATGGATGGGAGTGCCACCCTGCAAAGAACTGCAGAATACTGGTGGGTGACAAATGGGGCATGACCCATCAGTGTGCGCTTGCAGCCCAGAAAGCCAAGTGTCTCCTGGGTTGCATCACCAGCTGCGTGAGCAGCAGGCCGAGGCAGGGAATGGTCCCCCTCTGCTCTCCTCTCCTGAGACCCCCTGGAGTTCTGCGTCCATCTTGGGGTTCTCCAACACAAAGCACACACGGACCTGGTGGAGTGGATCCAGAGGAGCCCACGAAAAAGGCCTAAGGGCTGGGACAGCTCTGCTGTGGAGAAAAGCTGCCTTACGGGGAGCTACCAGACCCATCTGCTGCCTGGTTCACTTTCTCCCCTTGCTGTGGGTCAGAGCTGGGACAGGAAACCACCCCAAGGGGTTAGTCCCGCCTTTACCAGAATTGCCTCAGTCCCACCTAGCTCCATCAACTTCACGAAGATGCTGAAATGCACCTGTGGCCAGTGATGCCAACACTGGCTGTTCACTGGGCCTCAAATCATCATCACAAACATTAGCCCTTTTAACATCAACATGGAGAATGTTTGTGCTTCTTTTGGTGGTGCTGGGATGGGTGAACCTGCCTCATCCCACATCTTACCCTCACAGTTTGCAGCATGCCAGCATAGATCTCCATGCTGGTGGCCTTCCCTGCAGCTCCCCTCCAAGAACAGCCAGTAGAGCCTCTGAGCCCAGGCTGACTGATTTAGCCTGGTTCTCCTTCCTCCTGGAGGACAAAACCCTGCGCTGATGCTCTGATGATAGTCTCAGCCTGTGCCTACCCTTCGTTGTGCTCCATTTCATGTGATTTTGATCACATATTTGAAACTAAAAACCCCCAAACCCACTCAAGCCCAGCCTTCCCATGGCACACAGATTCTGCATTGCAAATACTCCAGTGCAAACTCTCCCATGGCCTATTTTAGGTTCCTTGCCAGCGCCAGCACTGGCTGCAGACATTGCAGACTGTGGAGCCTTTGGCATTAGTTGCAGTAGAAGGAAATAAGGGTTTCGTAGGGCAGAAAAGGAAAACTCTCCCCTCCTTTCCTGAGCTGTGCCCCATAAGGAAACCCCCAATGGCATCAGCCCTTCCTTCATTTTCCTGTATTTCTTCTTTTATTCCTTATATTATTCATATAATCCTAGAATGGTTTGGGTCAGAAGAGACCTTAAAGCTTATCCAGCTCCAGCCCCCTGCCACAGGCATGGGCACCTTCCACTGGAGCAGCTTGCTCCAAGCCCATCTGTCCAGCCTGGCCTTGAACACTACCAGGGATGGGACAGCCACAGCTTCTCTGGGCACCCTGTGCAGTGCCTCAGGACCCTCACAGGGAAGAGCTTCTGCCTCAGAGCTCATCTCAATCTCTCCTCTGGCAGGTTAAAGCCATATTTTTCTATGCTAGAGAGCCCCATGCAGCCCCAGCTCTTTTTCCAGAATTTGGGGTGAGGCCCAGATTGGCACTCCCCAATATGGTTCTCCTGCCCCATGGTCTCTGTGTGGTGGGGGCAGGAGAACCATGTCCCATTCAGCTCCCCTGCTCCACTGCAGGGACCCCCCATACAGCTCAGGGGTCACTGTGGCAGGAAGATACCTGCTGCCGCTTTCCTGGGGTACCCCATGGTTCATTGTTTCTTTCTAAATCCAGGAACCAATGTACTGCCATTGGTATCTTCTGCCTGCCTCTTGTACCTCTTTGCCACTTGTCACATCCCCAACACTGCCTTGTCCAGGGCCGGGTGCAGCAGCAGCAGTTTGAGCCCCATGTGTTCTAGGTGACAAGTCACCTGAGACCCCTTGTTTCAGCTCTACCACAGGCATGGGAGGAAGGAAAAGCATCTGCTCTATTACATCGAAGGGGAAAAGGGTACAACAGATGGTCTGAAGCATCCAGAGGTCTCAGGGAGCAACCGCTACTTCCTCTTGCTTTTCTTCTTGCTTTCGATCAAGTCCAGCCCTTGCTTCTTGATGGCTTCTCTGGTGAGGACAAGACCACTGTGGTTGTCAGGGATATCAAAATCGTCTGGAGGAGAGAGCGGAGAGGAGCGGGCTGGGGAGGGTCTGTGGGGCTGCCTCTGCTGTGCCTGTGTCCCCAGGAGGAGCCGGCAGGCACATTTTGGAGGGCTGCTGGCATCGTGGAGAGCGCTCAGGACAGGCACTGCCGATTGGCTGTCCCACACCAGCAGCCCAGGGGGACCTGCAGGACCTGCTATGGCCTGTCTCAACCCTGCTGGGGCTTCCCATAAAGCTCTGGGTCCTGCTTTGTTAAGAAAAGGTGGTAAGGTACCAGAAGCTCCCACAGGAGGAGGCCACTGGCAGAGCCAAGCCCTGGCTGTGAAGAAGATTCACAGCCAAGTGATTTTGAAGACGAGGCTCTCCCGCTTGCACCACAGCATCCCCCCTTGCTCCTGTGATGCTTCTACGCTCAAGTCACCATCTGCTTCCAGTCTCCCACATGCACACAGAAAACCAGCACTATGCTCAAAGGCCTGGAGCCAAGCGCGGTCAGCCCCAACGCCTGCAGCAACTCCTGGGTTGGGCTCTGCTGGGACAGTGGGAGATGGGCAAGGACAGCCAGAAATGCCAGGAGGCAGGGGCTGGCTGGGGCAGTTGCCGTGGGATGTGTCCCCTTTCCTACCTTGGAGCCCCACGCCCGTGTCCTCCAAGGAAACCTTCCGGTTCCGTGGATCGGCCATGAGGGTTTCCTCCAGCAGCTGCCTGACCTTCACAAAAGTCTGTGAAAGAGAGGCTGTGTTCATAGCTGAAGGGGAGGCGGGTGTTACAAGCAAAGGGGTGCCCAAGCTCCATGTGCCCCTGGTAGGGAACACCCCACAGAGCCCGGGGCCACCTGGGCCTGAGCTGCTCCGTGGCTCTTCCCTCGAGCACCTCCATCCTCCAGCTGGGAGGATGGCTTGGCACGGGCCACCCGGGAAAGCCTGTGCGGGTCCCCAAAGAGCGCAGCAGGGATGGAGCCGCCGTGCACCTCATCATCCTCGCTGTGGCTGGAGGGGGGCAGGTCAGCCACCCGCTGCACCAGGTACTGCAGCTTCTGCTCACACTGCCGGAGCTTCTCGTCCACTGCCATGGCCTTGACAGGATGCTCCTGGAGTCAGAGAGGGAACAGCCTTGGTGGGGAGAACGAGCCCCTTGGGGTGATGGTCGCTGCACCAAGTGTCACCACACGGTGCCGTTGCAGCACCAAGCAGAGCCTGGGCTCTGCTCAGCCCAGCGTTGGGCGGGTACCTGGCCAGGCGCGGTGATGCCCCGCAGCCGGACGAAGAGGTTGTCAAGTGCGTTTTCAAAGTCCAGCAGCGTCTCCTGGCTCCTCAGCAGCTGGGCTCGCCCCTGTTCCAGCCGAGCCTCTTCCCGCTGCAGCCTCGTCCTCAGCTCCTCCACCAGCCCCCTGGAGCCAACCACGGTCACATCCATACAACGGCACAGGGGTGCAGACACCCCAAAGCTGTTGCAAAAGCTGCTGCCCAGCTTCTCCCCTGCCCCCAAGCGCAGAGCAGAGATGCTGCCTGCAACTCAACCCCACGCTGCTGCTGCTCCCACTTCCCATGCCAGGCAAGGAGCAAGGCTCCTCCTGCTGCCAGCGCAGGAGCTTTGCGTGCTCTGCCAGCACCAGAGCTGGGGCAGCACTCTGCTCAGAAAGCCTCCCAGTGCGGGAGGGGTGGGCAGCCGCAGGGTGACAAAGGAAGGGCTGCCCTCTTGGGACACCTGCCATGCACGTGTCCCCCTGCCCCTAAGGGTGCCGGCCCCTTTGGCATGAGTGTCCGGAGGCCAGCAGCACCTGCTTGTGTCTGGGGGCCGGCGAAACTTCAGCTCATCGCGCTGCATCTCCAGCTCCTTCACTGCCTTCTCCAGCTCCTGCTTCTTCTCCTTGCACCTTGTGAGGTACTGCTCCATTTCCAGCAGGGACTTCTGCTGTGCCTGGAGCCTGATGGGGATGTCCTGGCCGGGGAAGAGCACAGGGACTCAGCCCAGGGCACTCCTGCAGGGTACAGGATCTGGGCCGTGCTCCTGGGGAGGTTTCTGCACCAGGAACCACAGGAAGCACTGCAAGTTCATGGCGTGGAGCAAAGCAGTTCCAGCCCTGCCTGTACAAGAGGGGCCCTGGGGGGCTCTGGGGACAGAGGAGAGCAGATAACCCTGCCATGGAACAAGGTGAGCAGACCAGGCTCAGCTCCGTGGGGCTGGAGCAGCCCCAGCTTCTACCAGAGATGGCTTTTCACCTCACCCAGAGGCGGGAGCACTGCACCACATCCTTGGCCTCCTCTATCTTCTCCCTCACATAGGCCTCCCGCTGCAGCTGGTACTTGGTGGCCTCCAGTTTGGCAGCTGCGGTGGAAAGGTTGTGGCAGGGAAGGATGCCTGCGGCTGCGCCTGCATCCCCCCCCTGCACCCTGACAGGCACTCACCCACCACTGGGTCCTCTGCGGGCAGGCTCAGGAAGTCCCTTCTGAGGTCATGCTTGGCTTGCTGCAAGGATGTTCATCGTCACCCCTGAGCTGCTGGCAGCCTGGGGGAGCTGGCCCTGCAGCCCCTCACCCATGGCAGGCTGGGCACTGACGCCCGCCCTATGCCTGCAACCCTGCCTGTGCTGGGGCCCCCCAGCTCACCGTTTTCAGAGCCCTTTCTTTTGCTTCCTTGAGCCAGCCTCCGTCTGTGGGCTCTTTCTGAGCAGCCTGGGTGCGGAGCCTGAGCTCCCTCTCTGCAAGGACCTGGGTTTTCGTCCTGACCATGTGCTCCTGGAGCAGAGCAGAGAAGAGCAGAGCAGAAGAGAAGTGGCTCCCAAAGCTCCAGTGGACCTCTGTGAGCTTCTAAGCCTGGCATGGCCAGCATCAAGAATGCCACCCCCTAACCCCTGTAAACAGCCTGGGAAGGAAAGTGAGCAAGGACAGCTAGAGAACGGAGAACGCCACCTTCCCCGTGGCCAGGGCTTCAGGCAGCTGTCCCCAGCTCAGGGCAGCCCGGCCCAAGAGCCAGACACAGGAGGAGCTATGGAGGCATCTGGGTGCTGCGGGGAAGCCAAGCTCAGTCTTGCTTTTTCTTGAAGGAAGGAAGACTCAGCAGCACGGCCGTCTGGTGCCATGTGTGGGCTCTGGAGGGCAGGAAAGCACCCTGAGGTGCCCTGGACGATGGTCTCACCTCGGCTCCACGAGCAGCTCTGAGCCCACGCGAGGCCATGAGCTCCATGTCCTCCACCTCCCTATGCTGCAGCTCGGCCGTCTCACTCAGGAGGTCCAGGTGCAGAGGCAGGTGGGCCAGCTCCTGGGACACGGGGAGCCGGAGCCCACTGAGTCCCAGGGGTGCCCTGTGCTGGGACAGAAGGTGGAGGGGAGCAGGAGGACCTCCTGCAGGAGGGTGTCCCACCAGCACAGCCCCTTGGGCCCTTCAGTGCCTTTGCAGGGGGAGCGGGTGAGACAACGGCACGGTGAGGATGAGCTCACCTTCCTCAGGGCATCCCGCACCGCCACGTACAGGGCAGTCACCTTCTGCCCAGCGCGGACTTTTGTTTGCATCTTCTCTATGTTGCCCTCCAGGGTACGAACCACCTGGGGCAGAGAAGGTTGGAGACAAGGGGTGAGCCCATCTACTGAGACCAGTGCCCACCCAGGGGGGCAGGGTTGACTGAAACCCCCCACGGGTGCTGCCACCCCAGGGAGGGGCCCTGGCACCTGTGCCTGCTGCTGCTTTTCGGCCCTCTGGACATCCTGCAGCTGCTGCAGCCGCCTCTGCAGCCGCTCCTTGGCCCGGCTCCGCTGCTCCACCAAGTACAGCAGCATGTTGCATGTGTTCACCTGGCGACAGACTTCAGCCCGGAGCTTCTCCTGGGCCACCTGCATGGGATGTGAGCATTTGCCAGGCTGGAGGCAGGGCACGCTGGGCACCCACGGGAGAAGGGGTCCTGCCTGCAAAACTCATTGCTGGGGATGGGGGATGCTGGGACCTGCTCACTCCCTTGGCAGGACAGGAGCTCTGCTGGGGCAAAGGACCTGCTCAGGGAGCTAAGGGAGGACACTGATGGGTCCTGCAGTGCAAAGGTCCCACGGGACCACTCATGGACGCCCCGTGTCTCACTGCACCAGCCCTGCGGGGCTGTCGTGGTGCTGGCACCAGCTGCCTGTTCCCTCCAACCGCTCCTTCTGAGCATCCCCTGAACCCCAGCCCACTGCCAGCAGCCCGGGCCCGCTGGACTCTGCTATTACCTCCAACGGCTTACTGGCCAAAGCAATGCCCAAGGGCTGCTCCGCTCCGCAAGCCTCAGCGATGGTGAGCTCATGCTGTGGGCAGAAGAAGGGCAGAGAACACATCACTGCCAGCCTGGGGATGGTCCCAGCCTCCTGCTGCCCTGCACTCCCTGCTCCTGGACAGGACCAGTGGAGAAGCTAGCTCTGCACGTCCAGCAGGGTCACAGTCACGGAGGCAGCAAATGGGACCTGCCGGTACCTTGCGGGCAAGGCCCAGGACATAGATATCCTCCTGCACCGCCTCTCGCAGCTGGGGCAGCCGCTCCAGGTTCTGCGTGAACTTCTCTTCCTGTGGCTTGCTGTACAAGTTCCTTGCTTGCCCTGCAGGACATTGAGGAGCTGTTGGTACCATGCAGGATGATGCGGGGACCAAAAGCCCCCTACTTGGCCCAGCCCATAACGCAAAGCCAACGGGGCAGCACCTTGCAAGGCTATGCTGGCACGCATCTCACGGATGCGCTTGCTGAGGTTCGTCTTCTGGCCCAGCATGATGCCGCTGCTCCTGCCTCGGCTCTCCAGCCCCGCTGTGTACGCAGCAGCCACTGCAGTTCTACTGCCCGCTGCAAGGGTCACAGATCTGTGGCCAAGCCAACGGAGCTGAGCAACCTACGTCCTCATAACTGTCGCAGGGCTGTAACCACAACATGGAGCTGAGCTCCCTACGCCCTGGGAACTGTTGCCGGGCCGTAACCACAGCAACGGAGCAAGAGCAGCCTCTTGCTGCCTGGACATGTCCCTTTGGAAAGGTCAGCTCATTGGTCAGGAAACAGCCGCGCAGGGAGTTACGCTCCTGTTGACACGGGCAAGAACCAACCAGCTCTCAATATTGATATTTATTTGGGTGCTCACCATATGCTCTTGCTCACCTACAAACGGGACATGAAATGCAAGCACATACAGTTGTTTGTTGGTCAATACCATCAAGCTCCTTGAAGCTGTGAAGTCTTGGTGAGCAGGTGAGACAGAGATGTAGTGAGTGGGTAGGATCCATCTCCCCCTGCATGCTGAAAGGGACCTGGTCTTGGTAAGAAGCTGGAGTCATAGGCAAGGTGAACATGTCTCAGTCCTTCCCCCAGGATTTTTTCCAGCATTTCCTGCCTAGAAATTGCTCTGCACTGAAATGGGAACAAGGAAACCATGCTGGCTGCAGGACACAGTCCTTTCCTGTGCATGGAGGAGCAGGGTCACCCTTCTTGCATACCCATCAAGAACACTAACCGCCTTTGACACCACGGAGGCATACTTGTGCCCAAGCTCTTAGCAAGCAGAAAATCCTCCCCTCTGCAACACAGCTTAAAGCACTACTGTCAAGAGTGCAGGATCTACAGAAACCCCATTGTCCCCAGTTTTCTCTTGTCTGAACCTAGATATTCAAAGGAGGATAGAAAATTGATTGGAGATCTCAAAGGAGAGGAAAACAAAGAAGATTGGGTTCAGATACCTGATGGGAGAATTATAATCCCCTAACCAACTCTGGACGCTAGTTCAGAAGGAACATAATAAAACTCATTGAGGTAGCAAGTCTTTGTATAAATACTTAGATGAACAAATTGCAGGAAGGAATCTATGTATCATAGTTCAATTAGTGACAATATCAGCTCTGTCTCAAGAAAATAGAAATCAAATTGGTACAACTGACAGCACTGGCAAATGAATTTTTCTGAATTACCGAGACCAATATCTGTTGGTGTTAACAAATACTTTCTTAGGGCGGCCAGAAGCATTCCCTTGTAGAATAAATAATGAAAGACAAGTAATTGGAACATTGTTAAACAGTATACCTTGTTTTGGAGTACCAGAGACAATTTCTTCCGACCGAGGCTCGCCCTTCAGTGCAAAATAGTTACAAGAAATTAGCCAAAATTAGAGTTTGATTGGCAACTACATGTTCCGTATAGGCCTCAGGCCAGGGGGAAGTAGAAAAGGTGATCAAACAACAGATTAGTAACATATGTTGATACCAAGGTTTACCACTGGCTCTATTAAGAATTTGAACTAAACCTCGGTCGAAAGAAGAGGCTATCCCATGTAAAATTTTATATGGAAGACCATATCAGTCCCAGGTCAAAGGAGAAAGTCTTCTGGAAGTGGGAGAAGGTTCTCTCCTAGAGTTTCTGATCAATCTGGGAAAGTAATTAGAGGAAATAAGAGAATACTGGGGACAAGAGCGAGAGGCATCGGTTATCTGACTCACCCTTTTAGATCCAGAGACTGGGTTTATGTTAAGAATTTTTCAGGAGATTGTCTACAGGAGAAGTGGAGCGGACTTCACCAGATAATGGAACAACCTTTCTTCAAAAATGAAGAAAGCACCAGAACCAGAGAAGACATGGCGGATTGAACCTTCAGGACCTTCACATATGAAATTGTATCAGTCGTAGCTTGGATTTATGTGATAATTGACATACCAGCTTGGGACCAATACTTATACCTGATTAATATTAATTGTTTCAGTATTGATTACTTGTGGTATAACAAAATTTTCTTCCTGAAATTGTAAATGATCTATGATAAATTATGGAGATTGGAAAAAAGAAATGAAATTTAACTATCAAGTAGAAACAGGAAACTATTTCAAAAAGAATCTAGATGGCAATGGCAGTATATAAAATGTTGCAGGAGAATTTTCAAAAGGACAGAAAAAGGGGGCATAATAGACATTTGTTGGTACTAACAGGCACCTTTTCAGATTGGCCAGAAGCCTTTCCAACTAGAAGCTCACAAGCCCCCGGAGGTTGCAGGATGGTTGTGGGGATTTTGAAAGTATGTGCTGCATGAACTTATCTGACTATTCTGAGTCAATTCATGCTAAGCTGCGAAAATTGCAGGAAAATATGCAAGAGCTTAGAATTGTTGGAGGTGGAATGGATGACTGGCTAAATAACCTAGGACTTACTGGATGGTTCAGAGAAACACTTCAACAAGGCCTTCTAATCTTAACTATAGGACTACTCATTTTAATGATTGTACCTTGCATAATATAGTGTATATCAAAATCACTCCATAAATCCATAGAAGGAACGTGGATAGCTCTGTCATAAATAATATAGTAAAAGAATTTACTCATTTTATAGAAAAAAGGGGGGATTGATACAGGGTTAACCAATGTACAGGGGGGTTGTACAGGGGGGTTGTACAAGGGGGGTTAGAGGAATTTGCCTGCTTAAATAAAAGTATTGTCTGTACCTATCATGCCTACTAAGCAGAACAAAGGCACTAACCATTGACAAGGAAAAGCAGACACCTGGTTCTATTGACAAGGAAAAGCAGACTGATTCTACTGATAAGCAGCTGTTGATAAGGAAAAGCAGACACCTGAAGGGGGAGAAGCAGGTGGTTTATGGCTGGGACACCCACTGAACCCTAAGGCCCTACATGAAGACTAAAAGGTGAAAAGTTCAAGAAGGGGGAGACTCATTTACTTCATCTTGAAGACCCCTCCCCACAGGAGGAAGACTCAGTTACTTCATCTTGAGGACCTGCCCATGACCAGAGGGGGCACTGCACAGGAGAAAAGGACCTTCTAACTCATTATAATACAAAGCGGGGATAGGACATGAATATGTATAGGCGTATTGTGCAACCTTATGAATACATATAACTTTAGAGAATAAATGTAGAGAGAAACAACACTGAGGTACGCATGACTTTGAGGAATTACCCCTGTGCGTCTCAGCACTGAATAAAAAGCATACCTACTTTACAACTTTAACGAGTTGTGGAGTCTACCCGTGTATCAGGAATGAGGGCATTCTTTGCTAAAAATCCATCCACAAGTCCCCACTCCACCACCTACAAAAAGAGATTGTGTCAGGATTGGAATGATTTATACAGGACTGGACTCAAGTGATTTATACAGCATTGAACTGAAACCATGTGTATAGAAATTGCAAATACAAAGGAATAAGGGAGACCGTCTCGTTGAGTCACGAGGTTCAGACTGGACCCTTTTACTTTCTAAACTCCCTCTCCAAGAGCAGTCTGGGTGCTGCTGGATTCCACCTTAGTCTCAGTCCTGGTATTCATGTAAAGGTTCACAAATGTCAGCTAGCAGCAGTTTGCATTTTTAAACTGAATCACAGGATTTCTAACAGCACTTGATCACTGAAGCTAATATACATGCACTTGCAATTAAATATCTAACCTAACACAACACACTGAGATGGAGCTAGATGGCTGTATACACATCTAGATGCATACCTGTGCTAAAGCTGCCCTCGGTGCAGTGAAAAGTAAAAGCAGAGTACAATACTCACATCAGCTTTAGCAGCACTCCTCAGGAGGCGAAGGGCTGAGTGTCAGTGAGCAGCAGGAACAGCCCAGGCAGATGATCCCCAAGACAAAGAGGCACAAAATGAAATATGGACCTTTGTAAATAAGTAGGATCAATTTTAAGTAATGTTAAGTTTGATGGCTTTGTAAAAGCAGCAATGGAAAATAACTGAGGTGCATGATTCACAGAGAAAAAAAGTAGAGTGCTGCTAGAGAACATCCTGAGAATTCCTGTATAAGGTAAACCCTTGTAGTTGGCATAGCTTTAGGTCCTTATGACCTTAGTACAAAATAAGAAAAACAGGATAGAAAAACAGGATGTGGCCATGGGGAGTATCTGGGACTAGCAGATGTCCAAAATGGGGTGCAGTTAAACTAACTGGTAAGTAGAAGGCATACTGTGATACTGTGATACTGTGAACACCCACATGTCTCAACCTGTCTTCATTGGAGATGAGCTCCAGCTCTCAGAATGATGCAAAGGGTTAACAAATGTACAGGGGGTTAGGATTGAGCCACTTGCTTAACAATGTTACTGCTTGCTCATGCTTATCCTACTTGCAGGGTACAAGGGGATAGATCAGGACGCTTGCTTAACAATATCGTTGCTCACTGTGAGTTACATCAGGGTGATTCGTGTCAGCAACTCAGGGGTCCTACTGATCATTGTACTTTGTGGGGAGATGGAATCTCTTGTGATCACTGTGCTATGTGCAAAGGTTATAAGTGTCCCTGTCAATAGCACAGTGAGGAGGAAGAAGAAACAAGGGAATAATTCCCCTGGATCAATCGCAATATTGTGCAAAGAAATATTTTGTTCATTGTTTAAATTGCATGAATGTTCTTAGAAAAGGGGGGGGGGGGGAGTAGGTAACTTAGAGATATGTCCTGTTACAGAATGTTGTGAAATCTGTGCGCTGAGCAGATAAACACATAAGGAGTGGAATTTATGGTAGCTAAGATGGCGATCAGACTTGTGATAGACATAGTATTTCTTCACCCAGAGACAAGACCCCAGCAACAGGTGGAGAAGCCTGGGAAAAGAAGACAACAGGATTGGCTGAAACCCAAGACCAAAAAGTATAAGAGATTAACCCCAGAAGTTCCCCTTCGTGCTTCTTGGGCGGAGTGGAGACTCCCCGGCGCACCCAGCGCTGCTTGCTTATTGCCTCCTGATATTAATTACAATAAAAATCAATTAAAACAGATTGGCGATA